TTTCAAATGGACAGCAACTGCCTGTTGTAGAAACCTACAAATGTAGAGGACGACGTTTCAAAAGTCTTCCGCCTTTCATCTTCATTAACAAACATATCTTTCTGTGCAACTTTGCCACCACATGCATGATTGTCACTGGTAGTAGTCTTGTGAAGTGTATGCAAAAAGGTGACTTGAATATAAAAGAAAGCTACAAAAGCTCACTACCACTGTATTATTGAAATGTATGTTACCATAACGATAATATTTGCAATAAGTGCTATATTTTATACATCAGTCAACTTTGATGAAAATGTAAAACCAAAACAACAGAAAATAAACATGTTTTGACCCAGAGCTAAGGGTCGTATATTTAAAAAATGTTTCTAACATTTAAGATAAATCATCGCAGGCTTGATTTAAAAAAAAACAAAAAACTATTTACACACAATATAGGTTTAATAGTTTAGGATAGAATTACAGTGTGTTTAAGCCAAATAAAAGTAAACTTTCAATCAAATGACAGGAACATTCAAAAAAATCTATTGAATAAGTTAAAAATAGTTTCTCTATAACTAAGGTCAATATCAAAATATGTAACAAAAATTGAACTTAAAATAAACCAAGTTTATTCTCAAAAACAAGCATTAATGTGTAGGTCAGCTACATCTATTAGAAAGATAAGCATTGTGATGTCATTCAAGACAAATACACGCATATGTATGTGTGATAATTAACTTAGGTTAGCTGTGCAATCTTATTCAGATTATGATAAACCTTTGGCACCCCAAAGAAAAGTAAAATTTCAAACTTAAATATCTTTAACATAAACAGGAGTAAAATTTAAGAGTATGCTGTACAGTAGCTTTGATCTAGCCCAATCCAATCATGCCACATGTTCTATATACATGTGATATTAGCAGTACAAAAAGTATCAACATAAATTTTTTTAAGTTTTTTTGAGGTAGTCATATGTGCAATTATACATTCTATTGTCATAGTGTTTTACTTTGTTTCTTATGGTGCTAATTATTAATGAATAATACTTAAATGAAAGTTATATCCTATTCTCAGTAAAACAGCCAGACACCAATGTTATATTGTGATTTACTTTGTCAACAGAACTCAAACTAATAACCATTTTAAAGGATTGTTACTCACCCAGTAAAGAGATTGGCTTTTCTGATGAAACATCATCTGATAGGCTTCTGACTGACTGATTTAGTCTTTCTAAAAGTTTAAAACAGTTTAATATTCGGACATATCAAAACAAACAGAAATATAATTTAATAACATAAGAAAATTAAATTCCTACAAAAAATAACCCACTAGTTTTATAAAAATGGTAAATTATTAAGCAATTACAACATGTGTGACAGTAGCAGGACAGTTAAAATAAATCAAATTATTGAAATTTCTACACCAGACAAGGCACATGTGATAAAAACTTTGGAAAATTCAACCACTATTTTACATCATGAAAAGTAACTAAATATAGTTAGAAACAAAATGTATATATGTACTAAATATATTTTTTGCTTTGAATATTGTATTTTCAAAGAAATGTATAAAAAAGAGACTATATTATAAAGTATTTTACAGCAAACAAAATAACACTGCCCCTTCCTTAGTATTGTTTGTCCTGAACAATAGCCACTTACATTGAACCAATAGATAATTAACAATAACTTAATCAAATGTACATAATTTACAAATACAAAATTAAAATTCAACAAAGTCTCTTAATTTTACGGGACTTATCATCTTCCATACTGGCTTCTGTTTCACGTGAGGTTCATCTGCTCCATCAGGAATTGTCTTATTATCG